CTTAGAAGTTTTTAAGGTCAGGCTTGACAAAGCCCTGGCTGGGATGATTTAGTTGGGATTGGTCCTGCTCTGGGCAGGGGGTTGGACTAGATGGCCTCCAGAGGTCCCTTCCAACTCTGTTATTCTATGATTCTATATTCCTGAGCTACCCCAAGTATGTGTAAACAAGCCTAGAATCACATGCCTCTGTCAAAGTACAGACATAGCCTCCGGAGGGTTGACACTGGACTGTAGGATTGTCCTGTGGTTAAGACACTGAACTGGGTCTTAGGAGAACTGAGTTCAGTTTCTGGCTTTGCCTCAGACTTTCTGCAGGATCCTAGCTAAGTCATTTGATCCTTCTGTGTCTTAGTTCTCCATCTGTAAAATGGGGATAATAATATTTCCTTTCTCCCAAGTCTTTTTAGGTTGTAAGCTCTTCAGAGCAGGAGTGGATTACAGCACCGAACACAATGGGACTCTGGTCTCAGTTGAGGGCATGTAGGTGCTAACATAACACCACTGCTGAGTACTACCATGAAGACTGATATACACTGCTGTAGGGACCCTAGACTTGCGATGTATTCAGGCTTAAATGAATCTGAATACATAGAATTCCTTGCTAAACAACTTCTCCCTTTTTGTGATGAAATAGTTTTTTAAGGGTGGAAAATAAAATCCATTGGGAGAGGAAAAACACTAGGGGGTTGCTGGTGGGGATTTTTTGCATGTAAATATATAAATTTAACCTCATACAGTCAAAATACTTATTTGTACAGCATAAGAATTACACTCTTTGATAGAGGATGGCAGTCTTCATTTGGCCTCATTTTCCTAGCAACACTTCAGATTGCTGTTCTTATAGAAGAACATAGACACAGTTGCCTCTCACTTGCTGATGTATTAGGACCAACATAAAAAGGAGCAAAACTTTGATCAGCATGAAACCTTGTGTTAACTTAGTAGCTTCTTTATATGCATCCAAAGCAACCTCATGCAGGCAGTATTTAATGTATTTGCTCATTCATTTACAAAAAGGCAATTTCATGTCAAAACTGTCAGCATCTGTAATACAATACCGTGTATCTACACTTTCATTTCACAAGGAAAGAAAGAAGCCATTTGATTTATTTATGAGCTAAAGAGCTTTAGCAGTAAATCAGAATTGCTTACCTCAGACTATTACTGTAATTGAATTTTCCCCTATCCCGGATACTAGCTGGTTAAAGGTTATAGTGGCATATTTTTAAGGAATTGTAAGAGAACTCAAATATACAAGCAGCAGTGAAAGGTATAATTTTAGCTCCAAAAAGGAGTCGTATAGTAAAATTATACACCAGACAGGACAAAACAAATATGCTTTGTGGTACTGATGTGGAAGTCTGCTCGTATTACTTCTTTCAGATCTTGACAGGATCTTTGTTCTTGATGTAAAATGGATTTTTTTAAAGCTGTTGGCTTTGTTGGCAGGTGTTCCTGGGAGGAAGGAAACGCAGTCCATAAACTTGCAATTTCTGTAAAAGTTAATGTAGCTACACAGCTTTGGAGCCATACTCTGTTTGCTGAGTTCAGCAGCCACAGAGAGCTTTCATTTGATTAGCTTGGCCTTTGGTGTTAAGTGTCTCTAGGATTTCCTGAGAGACATTTATCAAAGGAATTAAGACTTTTTTTAAGAGCACTGAATGAAAATGTAGGCTCAATAAACTAAAGCCTGCTCAAAAGTGACATTATTGTGCGCTATAATGAAACCCCTATGAGTTGGTGAAGTCCCTACCCAGCTTAAATATTGTTTGTCCTTCCGTTTACACAGAAGGTCTGTCTACACTATGATAACGAACCTGTGGCGCTTAATCCCAGAGCCCAGGTCAGCTGATTCGGGCACAGGGCTTGGGTTGTGGGGGTATAAAATTGCAGTGTAGATGTTTGGGCTCAGGCTGGAGCCCAGGCTCTGAGACCCACCCCCCCTGAATCTGAACATCTACACTGCAATTTTATAGCCCCACTACCCAAGCCCCCCAAGCCCAAGTCAGCTGACTCAGACCAGTTGTAGCTGTGCCATGGGTCTTTTATTGCTGTATAGATGTACCCCCTAGACTTTAAAATGGTCTGGCACTAACCCTTTATATAATTTGCAGCTAGGACAATAATGTGTTTTACTGAAATATCTTCAGTGATTTTCATATGTTGCTAGGTTGGTGTGTGTGACAGAGATTAACTCAGTTTTCTGGTATACATTTTTTTTTATGGTGAATGATGCTGGATTGACAGTCTGGTGGACTGGTTTTTCTATTTATCCACAGACCAGGTATTATATGGGCAGTGCAAGATTTCCAGCCTGCTCCCCAATGTGTCTTAGTCTGACTTGGAGGGACGTCACCCCGTCCCCACTCATGCTCTCTGCTGATTGGCGGCTAAGGCATATAATGGGGAGTTCCCAGATAGTGCTAGTTGCCAAGGTAGGGTTTATCGTGTGAACCCTTGAACACTGGAAGTAGGAATGAGATCACCCTGAGATAGGGGACAACTGAGGTGTTTGGAAGCAGACCTCAGACTTCAAGGTTTGAAGACTTTTAAGAGTATTCTCACTGGTGAATCCTCAGTTCTGTCTGAAAAGTTGTGTACACCACTCTGAAGGTGGTTAAAGGGACTAGTAGAGGAACACATGGCCAAAGGGTTGAATGAGTAATTTATGCAATATTCTCATCTTATCTTGGCCTGGAGTCTTGAGACCTGAATACTTCCATTGACTTCAGAAAACAATGTTTAAAAAAAATATTTAAATGTATTACATAGTGATTTTAAGTAATTAAGCACCTGACTAGCTCCACTGAAGTGATGTAAAATTAAGTTGATGCTCTAATACATAGCTGGATTGAAACCTACATTTGTCCAAGGGGACAAACTCTTCGATTGTGATTTCGCAACATTCAGGGGGTATTTTACAACATGGGGTTAAGACGTTTTTCCACAATATCACACAGCTTTACTTTCTTCTGGACAAATATTACAATTATTCTACTGATACGACAGAGAAGGCAGAAACCCAGATTTAACTGTTAGATTCCAGGTGAATGTAAGAGTCTGGCACTTTTACTCATAAACTGACCTATTTGATGTACAAGTCATTGATTCACAATAACTACGGAACCCAATAATGCTATTTTACAGTCACTTTTCATAATGAACTACACTTAAAAAATTCAAAAGCCCAATCTGTTTGAGATAATACTAACAATTCTCCTCAGCCTGTATATTTTGGCTACCTGGCTCCCAATATGTGCCAAAATCACCTATTGTGTCTTAGGTTCTTTGATGCTCGCTTTATAGGAATATGTGAACCAGCAGCTTCCTGGCAGCTCACAGTTACACATTGTTCATGTTACTTATTTGTTTTTCTTGATTGCAAGTTGAATTCTGTATACAAATGTGACTCTGTCACCTGATTGTGTGGCCTGAGATGCCACTGTAGTCCTCGACCCCATCTTCTCAGCCCTGCTTCTTCTCTTGCTTCTCACAAATGTAACAGTCTTCACAAGATGTCATACTTTGGCACTTTTGAAAATCTCATGAGGCACTTAATCTGCATTTTTAGACACCTACATATTTTTGAAAAATCTAGCCCTTGTTGACCAGAAACAGTCCATTCATTCACTATTTATAGTCAACTATAGCCCTAATAAATAATTTCCTTTGTTTAAGAAATCAGTTAGTTTTAAATGCAAAACATGTTTTGCTAAACTTTTTTTCCCTTGTATCTGACACATGTAAGGTAGTTTTACTTAACTAATAAATTATGGGTAGGGGAGTTGGACAATAATTTAATGACAGATGTTAAAAAGTTAAAGCTTTATAACCATTAAAACACAAATTGTCACTATCATATGTGAATATATCACAAAGTAAATATCCCTAAATCAAATTCTAAGAAGTTCTCAAGCAGCATTTTTCTTATTTTGCCTATCTGTAAATTGTGATTGTTATCGGTAGAAATAGATTTTCATTGGTACGGTGAAATTGACATTTACTGATATATACCAATAAAAATATTATCTTTCCAAGCCCATGTAAAAGCTGTATTTGGTTGTAAATCAACATGTTATAATGGTTGGCAACCAATGAGAATGAACTTTTCTTTAGGAAAATAAATAAAAACTACAAATGCAAAACAAGATTAAAATCAATTATTTAAATCAAGCTGCTTGCTGATTTAAATTATTGAGATAGGGTATTTAAATCACTTTGATTTAACTCAATCCACCATGTGTTTAATACCTCATCGACAGGAAACATCTCATTTAATTAATTAAATGAAATAATTGCTCTATGATAGAACATTCTGTCTCCAACACCATAGTCGGGTAGCTGTTGGTAAATGTCCAATGACCACATGCCAACTTCAGCCTCATTAGCCAGAGTATCAAGTAGAGTTTTGAGTGCTAACTAGGAGAAAAAAGGATCCTACTGTAGGTGTCTAATTACTCTGTTGGATTAATACGTCTCAGCTGGTATAAAGCAATTAAGAAATATTGCTTACATTTCAGAAAGTTCGTATTAACTTTTTCCTAGTTCACAATATATCGTCTTATAGTGTTCCAGACTTGTAGTTGCTTTGTTTAAATTTGAAGTATTTGAAACCTAGTAATGATACTTTGAATATTTTCAGCCTGCTCAGACCAATTTGATCTTTCCTCTCCAACCCAAAATACATGTGCTCCTCCGTCTAACTTTTTGTTTATTTCATGCCTTTGAGACGTGTGTTCTTTTACTTTGGGGGGGTAGGAAATCATCCTTTTAACGGGAGACTTTCTAAAGCACCCAAGGAATTTTGAAGCACAAGTCTCATTGACTTTCAGTGACACTTGGGCTGCTAAGTCATTTTTACTGAGGTGCTTTTAAAAAGCCCACCCAAAATATATTATGGATGTTGTGCAAAAAAATAAATAAATAAAATAAAATAAAGTATGCTTCTAAATTAAAGTCTTAATGAAAAGATTAAATATTTAACACTTTTATGATTCCAGGACTCTGAATTTGACCCCCTGAAGTTCACCAGTGTCATTGAATGTGAGAAGCCAAACAATGACTTAAGTAGGTTTCGAGGTTACATGTGAGTATTTCATATAATTACCTTCAGTCTTCAGTCCCTTCTCTATAAGACATTTGACTTCCAGGCTCTCTTCTTCTAGTCCTCTACCTCATTCCCTGAACAGCTTCCAACTTCTGAACCAAATGAGTCAGGAATTCTACAGACAACAGCTTCCTTCACTACACAACCCTGATTCATCCCCAGAGCAGGACCACCTTGTACACTTACAGAGGTATCAGTTCTACAGAAAAAATAGTATGTGATCATGTAATCCAAGACTGTATCACAATGCGTACACACAAGAGAGATGAATGAGGGTTGCACAGGCAACTTTAATTCTGGCATTTCTTAACTTTGGAATGCTTTCTCTTGCTTATCAAGAATAACTGCTAAAATTGTTCTCTTTTGTAAGGTGCATCTATTTGTGGAATGCTCCGTGTCTTGGGGCAGTCATTCAAAACTCCTGCCTCTCCATTCAGATGGAGTTAGAAGTCTCTCACTTCCATTCCTGAAGATGAATGTATTGGTCAGCTAACACCATGGCTATAAATGCCTGAAGCAGGGAAGTAATAGATAAGACTCCCCACCCCCCTCACCCGATTTCATAATCTGTTTATCCACCCTAGCTTCAAAGAGTATGAGTTCAGGATGGACACTCCTTCGTACATTATCTGAAGCATTATAAATGCCATGGAACAGATTTTCAGCTTGTATCAGCATAGCTCCTTTGCAGCTACATCGGTTTAGACCAGCTGAGACTGCGGCCCTGTACTAGTAGCACAAGATATACAGCTCATGTTAAGATGAGAGCTGGTATTACTTACTTACTTGTTTGTTTTTTTTTAGTTTGAGTATTTTTTATAGTACAGTTTTGGGGGGTGGGTTCCCCTCTAGTTTTCCTTTGAGGTGAGGGTCTCCTTGCCTTTGGGCCCCTGTTTCCTTGCAGCCTTTCCTAGCAGGTTATGCCAAAAACCCCAGGATTAAAGCCCTGCCAGACCTGCCACAGGTCTTTCCCCCTCAGTGACAGGCATTCCAGCTGCCTCCACTGCCTTGGAGAACCCCACATCTTACGGCAATATAAGGTTTGCTCCAGCTTCAAGAGCAGATCTAGGAAGCTGAAAAAAGACAGACTGAAACTGCTCCTCATGGAGTGCTCACTGGGACCCATGGGGTCCGATTCAGCCCCTGTACCTCCGGCTCAGCCACTCAGAGCACTCCAGTGACTCCGTCATCTCCAGCTTTGGTAAGCCAGGACCATGGAGCAACTTCGGGCACTCAGACTTAACTTAAAGACCCCATGCCCTGAGAGACCGTCCAAGAGAAGTGAAAAATCACCACCAAGACCAAGGAGCAAGGAGCCCTCACATCCCAGTATAGGCACTGCTGAGGCTTCTAGATACCAAGACTTCAGTGACGAAAGACATCTAGTAAGCTGCATGCCAGAAAGTCTTCGCTCATATTTTGAAACACTAACAATTCTGCATGCAGCAGCACATTCAGCAACAAGTAAGCTGGCCTGTTCCCTAGCAGAATGCCAATTTATTACCAATACTGGTGGTCAGTACACTGTATGCAGATCAGCATACTAGTTGGCACAATGAGCCATTAAAAAGTACAATAAAATACATGGCAGCTGGCCTGCCCCCCAACTTTCTCAGTGTTGCAGATGTGAAGCATTACTGAAGCTGACCTTTTTACTCACAGTCATAAACTGCACTGAACATACCCAGTCGACTCCACTCAACAACTTGATTTAATCACGACCACAATTTCTGCTCATCTGTGGATCCCAAAAATCATGACTCGGGCCCCAGAAATCATGAAATTTGCCTAAAAATACTGAGATTTTGTTTTAAAAATACATGGGTGCAGTATGTGCTTTCTGGTTTTACAGCTTTGCTCTGGAGCTATAGGGGCTAGAATTATTTTTAAATTTTAAATCTGAAAACCTCACATAATCACATGACTCCAGAAGCCTGGGGCTTTAAGAAACACCAACTATAGTGAGAGTCAGGGGCAGCTCTACCAATTTTGCTGCCCCAAGCCGCCGAATTGCTGCCGCACCCAGAAGAGCGGTGGAGCTGCCGCCCAAAAGCCACTGCAGCGGGAAGAGCCCCATTCTGAATGCCGCCCCAAGCACCTGGTGAGAGTTGGTAATCTCATGTATATATAAGAGAGTGTTGTAAACTCGCAACATACAAATGTATGTAAAGCCATGGTGCAAATCAGCTTTGCCATCATAAAAAATAAATAAATGTAAAGCTAGTGATGGGGGACATCCAAAAGTTAGAAGTGCATTTCAGAATAAAGTTTTGATGCCTCTTTCTCTGTGGCCTGCTGCAATCAACCTTCCCCAGCAGAACCTGCCACACATCTTCCTCCAAGCAAATCCCCATCCCCTTTATCTGTTATCACCTTGCGTGGAATAAACTGGTGGTCTGCTACTCCCCTCCAGAGGCCCCCTCTCCTCTCTGTTGTTTTCAAAAAGAAGGCCACTGCCTCCCCTCCCAAAGTCAGCATGGTCTCTGGTGGTAGTGCTCCCCCGCATATGACATCTGGGAATCTGCTTAAAAGGCCTTTGAGGCAAGCAGACCCCCCATATGCCCTGGTGAGTAGTTGCTAGGGAAAGCTCAAGGTTCAAGCCAATGGAAAAGTAAGAGATGCCATGTTTTTCTGATATTTTTTTCTTTTGGCTGAATTAGAAGGCGCACACGCTCTCCGGACACTCTCGCTGGTAAATAAGTCAAACTGACTTGTGCTAATCCTCCTGACCACAAGGGTTAGGCTCAGCCAGTCAAAGATCCGGAAAATATACCAAGTGACTTCGTCTGTTTGACTTCTACCATGTAGTCAATTCAAGTTCAAAATTAGAAATACACTATTAAAAGCTGTTCAAAGTATTCAGACCCAGATAATGCAAACCCTTCCCTGCCCAGTTTAGAAATCTTTATCAATACGAACAGTTTTGTAAAAAACAACAACAAAAAGCAACAATAAACACTGCACGGTTGTGGAAGATCTTCATATTTTAAAAACAGACAAATTCAGAGAGATTTTAATTTCACACTGAAATCTTCATTTGGCAGTAGCAGCAGGAATCACAGGCATGCCGACATTTTACAGGATTGCTGGATATTTGTTTATAGCCCTTCAACTATTGAGAAAACAATGACAACCCCACAACTTATTTTTCAGGATATCTGAAAAACATGGGGTTGGAGGTGAGAGGAGGCATTTTCTATCTTTTTGTGTGTGTGTTGATACAGTATTGATATATCACCCTATTGATCCCACTCTAGCAAATGGGATACAAGGCAAACAAACAGGAAAAGGCAGAAGTTAGTTGGAGACAGGCTCTGTTAAACAAGACTGTTTCCATGCAAATACCTTCTCAATTATGTACTGAAACAATAATTAAATGCAGCTAGTGTAGCCATTTCTCATACTAGGTATGTGCATGTTCACTAGGTGTTTATATGCCACATATTTTGGGATGATGTCCATGTGAGAAATTGCAGAGCCATGAAACATACTGTATTTATCAAGCACTTCTGACCATCTCACCTACACTCTGCTCTCTAATCCATTCTCCTACAGTCTAGTTCTAACATTCCAAATTTCTGAGCAGCTTCAAAAAGTCACCATTTAAAAAAAAATACTCCCAGAGAAAGGTTTCCTTCTTTCCCTCGAAAATCATATTGGAATGAGTCCCAGGAAGGGGAAAATTCAGTGCTGAACCAGTGCCAGGTTAAAGGTTCAACCCTGCAGAGACAGAAATGGGAGCTCAGCCGTCTCCCCAGTGGACCCACAGCATTTGTGTTTCACCTGGGAAGGCTAGTTCTCAGACCTATCTAATTTACAGAGCGCTGGTTTTGAATTTCTTCCATGCACATTCCCTAGTTTGTAATTTTCTTTCCTTAAATTTACGTGTCTAAATAGCTCATCATTTTTCTATGTACCTAGTTAGTGGATCATTTGTAGGATGGGGCGGGGAAAAGTGGAGGAAAATAAATGTGTTGTATTTATTTATTGTACTCCATGGCTTAGTTTCCTCCATGTCATTTTCTAAGAGTATGTAGAACACCAGTGGATGACTGTGATTTACTTTGTTATGTACAAATGCAAATTAGTAGCAAATGCTATTTGTTTAGCGATGAGTAAGATGGGGAAAAGTTGCCATACAATTCAATACTCCAGATGTGGCCTCACCAGTGCTGAATAGAGGGGAATAATCACTTCCTTTGATCTGCTGGCAATGCTCCTACTAATGCAGCCCAATATACCGTTAGCCTTCTTGGCGACAAGGGCACACTGTTGACTCGTATCCAGCTTCTCATCCACTGTAATCCCCAGGTCCTTTTCTGCAAAACTACTGCTTAGCCAATGGGTCCCCAGTCTGTAGTAGTGCATTTGATCCTTCTGTCCTAAGTACAGGACTCTGCACTTGTCCTTGTTGAACCTCATCAGATTTCTTTTGGCCCAATCCTCCAATTTGTCTAGGTCACTCTGAACCCTATCCCTACCCTCCAGCTTGTCTACCTCTCCCCCCAGTTTAATATCATCCGCAAACTTGCTGAGGGTGCAATCCATCTCATCATCCAGAATGAAGATGTTGAACAAAACCGGCCCCAGGACCGACCCCTGGGGCACTCCGCTTTGATACTGGCTGCCAACTAAACATTGAGCCATTGATCACTACCCATTGAGTCCGATGATCTAGCCAGATTTCTATCCACCTTGTAGTCCATTCATGCAATCCACACTTCTTTAACTTGCTGGCAAGAATACTGTGGGAGACCGTATCAAAACTTTGCTAAAGTCAAGGTATATCTCGTCCACCACTTTCCCCATATACACAGAGCCAGTTATCTCATCATAGAAGGCAGTCAGGTTGGTTAGGCATGCCTTACCCTTGGTGAATCCACGATGACTGTTCCTGATCACCTTCCTCTTCTCCAAGTGTTTCAAAATGGATCCCTTGAGGACCTGCTCCATGATTTTTCCAGGGACTGTGGTGAGAC